CAAATAGTTGTCTCGTCTGGGAATCGAACCGAAGCGAACCGGGCGCCGAAGGCAATAAATACCTTAGCAACTGCGCCACGGAGTTAACTTGTACTTTTTTAGAGTGAAGGTGTTAAGCACTTAGGGCAAAAGGTACCGTTGTCTAGGGAGAGGAACGAATACCCAACTACACCGAGGAAGCACGGCCCTTAAATGTGCGATGATACATAGGCGAGACGCGTATGTACCCGCGTGTACAATTCGGTGATTATACGTGGGCGAGTCATGTGTGAACCCGCGTGTACAATTCAACAAATCGGAACTTGGGCGATTCTCACCGGTGCGGGCAGCGATCGCACGTGCGAGCGCCCGACTTTCCAACGCTGACCTCTCTGTCAAATGTGCGCTTTTCTGTTAAGCGCCATTCGACAAATGGACTGTGATAATAGACCTTTCTTCGCCGATTTCTAACCGGACATTATCGTGTACACTAGCTCGAACAGAATGTGTGTTTGGTCATATTTGCATAGGAGTTCTTGCGAGTCGCAACTCCTCAGGCCTTAAGTAAAATATGGGCGTAAATGGAAGATCCCAAACTAATTAGTGTAGTAGAGATATTTCGCATAATATGCTGAAAAGCTGAACCTAGTTAATGTACCGTTATTAGATGTCGTCCAATTCATATGAACTGAGATAAGTTGGTAAGTGGAATTGCTTGAATGATCAGAAATTGGTGTAAGAGCGCTGTTGCAAAGACATACCTCTCGAATGTTACAATTAGTAGCGAGTATGTAACATTTAAATAAATTTTATCAATAAATTAAGATATATCTTAACACGATGTTACTATTGTGAGCCGTGTTACTGATGACAGAAATAATATTTTCAGAACATTTTTAAACAACGTTATCAGTGCTAGTGCTAAACTAAGCAGTTTGTTCTGTGGGTACAAGATAAAACTGATAGACATACTTAAACATATTTTTCTTTTGTAAATAAATATTACAGATGTAAAAATAAACACCCAGACACAAAAAAAAACACTATGTTCATCACACATTATTTTTCCAATAGTGGTAATTGAAACCAAACCCTCTGCCGCGAGAGGTTTTGCATCCATTATGCCAATCGGACCCTCCGTATAAACACTTTCTTTTAATATGTAATCAGTTAAATTACGTCAATCCAGCATGGGGCTTAACGCGGGTTCGTCAGTGACCAAGTTGCAGAAAGCGGTAAAACGTGCGCGCTCCGACCCACAAGCGGCGGAGATGTTTTACGAGATAACTGCGCTTCCACGTATCGGCGGGCTTGTTCCGGAGCGCCGAGCGGTTCCGGCTCAAAGAACAAGGCGCTTGTAATACCGATCGATTGTACAACTTTGCTATCGTATTTAATACGGACGACAACGTGGACGCTTTATCCACCCGTTGAACTCATGGATAAATGGTAAAATAAAGTCAAATACTTAGGTGTCGTCCTTGAGTCTAAATTCAAATTCAGACAGCACGTGACTCGGGTCAGGAACCGGGCGGCCTTCGTACTAGGTCACCTGTATCCCCTTTTAAATAAAACTTAAAAAATGTCCCTTCGGAATAAGGTGACTTTATATAAGTCAGTAGTTCGCCCCATCATGACACACGCGAGTCCGGTCTTCGCGCACATTGCCCCAAGGCAAAATAAATACATCGGCTTCAGGTCATCCAGAATCGATTTTTGCGCAGAGCTACGGGAGCCCCGTGGTTCATGCGGAACATCGACTTACATGTAGATTTAGAGCTTCTAACCATCGTTCAGTTCCCGAAAGTCGGCGTCGCGCCGCTTCTTCGAATCCGCCGCCGCGCATCCCAATCCGTTAGTTGTAGGTAACGTCACCTACAAACCCCTACCGCTAGGTTCGTTCCGTCGCCAATGGCGCAGACCACGACACGTACTCGATTTCTCTGACGATAAGACGACTATCGCCATCGACAAAATAAAACAATTACGCAAACACATCAGATCACACCGCACTCGCCGGTGAGTGCGGAAAACATATACTAGGTTCCGCCACGTACCTGGCAGGTTTTCCCCCGTTAATGATAGAAGCGTTGCTGGAGTTTCTTCCGCCACCTCTTCTCCCAGCGCCAACGCTTTCCGAAGTGGTAGTAATGATAGTTCTAGAAATTCTCCCAGTCAGATAATAGGTACCGATCGAGCCGAGTCCGGCCCTCTCGGGCACCCTCGAATCGGAATGCTAAACGGGTATTGAGTGACAGCCCAAGCCGAGGTGCCCTCTCGGGGGCCCTTGAGCCTGGTCACTCCATGGAGCGTCAACCAAAGTGCCCTTAAGAGCTTGGAGGCCTCCCAAACCGGTAATGATAATAATAGCGTGACCGCCCGAGCCGAGGCTCCCTCGGGAGCCCTCCAGCTTAGTCACCATAACGCGTAATAATAATACGCCGAGGTTCTGGCTAGACGGCCCGAGCGCCCGGCCAACTCAAGTCCGGCGAAACTGTAAACTGTACAGTGACTCATCCGTCACAAAAATGGGCACAACTAGGTATGGTTGGAGATGTGCTCGTGTGTAATTTAAGCGATTTTTTAATTTTTTCTGTATCTATTTATTGTCTCTTTCTGTCGATAATGGTTAAAAGATGAGAGTATTCGCGTGTGGTGTTTAAACAAAAAGGAGTTTTTATTTCTTCTAACAAAAATGGTATGTATAACAAGTAAATACAAATACTTTGTTTAATCGTCAGCATATAATTACAGACTGTTCTAGTCCACTGCTGAACACGGGTCTCCCCTACAGACTGCCACAAAACAAAATTGCGGTTACCAATCCGCTCATGAACCGTGGCAAGAATATGACGTTGCAATTATGGCAAAACCCAACTATGACAAATGTCATTTAATATATTATAGTATTAATTAAATGTTTGGTAATCTATTATATCGTGTCATACGAGCAACGGATGAACCCCCGATTGACGATTCGGGGGTCGAATCATTTCTTAATTGCCATTTCTGGGGAATGGCTAATGGGAAAGGAGAACACGAAGCGAATTTGCATTTACAACGCGTCGCATATAAGAGCAGAGTCTAATCGATAGTTCGCTCCGAAAAAGCGAGAACAATGAAACGAACGAAGGCGATGCAGCCGTGTAGGCGTGTGCCACTTTCACTCACCGGAGCGACGCCGCCGTGGGGACACTCGAACGCGGCTCGGTTTCTTCGTTTGTCCAATTATGACGATAACGCATTGAATGTGCCAAATTATAAATATTTATAGGAAAATTAACAAGCACTAATCTTTAAGAGAGCCGTGGATTCGAAAACTGATCTATGGTCGCGGCTTGGAATTAACAGCTAAGTAATCGGCTACTTTTATACCTAAGAAACTACCATTAAGAGACGCGATAGTTAAAACACAGTTAAAACTTTTCGTTTTAAACCCGGAAGAAGAGGTTTAAATTTAAAGCGAAAATTCAATATACTCGAACAGTCCCAGTTCAAATCACGATGCCGGTATCTACGAAATTGTTAATTTAAAGTGCTGAATTATCACGTACTCTATCATCGTGAGGAAACCTGCATATTTTCAAAACAATAACATAAAAAAAATTCGAAGATGTGAATACACCAATCCACAGTGGGCTCGCGAGGTGGACTATGCCCCTATACCCTCCCCTCTACAAAGGAGGCTTTTGCCCAGCAGTGGGACATGAATATGTCGATTCACTGACACTTGATTCACGTCAAGTAAAGAGACTACTACTACGAAACGTTTAACAAAAACATTATACACAACAAGTTATTATAACTTGCATGCTATGGTGCTAACGTGGCTTATGTATCTTACAATATGTTAAGAGCTTAGATATCGCCCCTACCTGTCATAAAAGGGGATTAAAATGGGACACGGTTCATGGTCTATCAGGTAGAGTAGCCAACACAAAGGTATTTTACCTCGGTTAAAATATAAGCGAAGGTCTATAACTCAAACAAAACAGTAAGACATTCTTATCGTTATTTTTAATTGTTGTGTTTGCTTATTACACACAAAGCTATTAAAAAAGCACTCGAAATATTGCAAGAACCACAAATAAAAAGTAACATTGTAAGACTTGCAAAATATTTCACCTAGTAATTCAATCATTATAACATCTTCGTGCAATAGACGTACACGATTATCAGTAATAAATAAAGGATAAAACAGAATAAGAGAGCGTAGTTATATCAATAAAATAATTGAGATATTTGTTTTACAGGACGGGAGTCCTGTTTGCATGTGTGAGTATGCATTTATAATATGAACAAAACCATACATATACAACAAAGTTGACAATGTTTACGAGGAGGTCCGCTCAGACTGAATCCAGACAGGAAGAAGCTCTTTATCCCTATTACTGCATTTGCAGCACAATGCTTGCTAAATGAACGGTTCTTTTTATGCGAAATGTTTGCAAGCGAGCGGGTGGTTCACCTGACGTTAACTGATTATCGCCTCCCACAGATACCTGAGGGCAGTCCACACGGGAACAGAAACCGTGCGTTCTGTTTTTATAATTCACTTACTTCCGTTCTTGTAATTCCTGACATTAATAAATTACTATTAAAATTCACTACTAAAAATACACTTACACATAAAAATGTTATTTAGGAGGAGGATTTGTTGATTAGGACTATACGTCTCGCTGTCTCAATTGCGAGGCTAGTGTCTAGGACTATGCGAATGATTTGCTCTGCTTTGAACCCTACAGCATTCATTGTTTATATTGTGTATTTTGTTTATAAAATTAATTACAACGGCGTCTGTCAAGTGAGTTCAACACACAATAATTTTGGCGCATCGATAGCCGTATCTGCCTATCTCTTATTTTTAGTATTTTAATATGATTTTATATACATTTTTGCTAATCCTAGAGTTCTACTGACATTCCCCTAGTTTTAGAACTATTGGGCGTCTTCAACATAAAAAATATTATGCAAACACACTTATGCAAACTAATTTATAAAATAGTACATGAGTCACTTACCAACATAGGGATGTTAGGAACCACGACAGCGTCGTCGTCGGGGCCAGAGCTAAGCTCGGGCTGGAATGTGTAGGTCCTCTTGTAGTGGAAGGAAAGAGTACCGTTCTCGTTGTCGGTTATGTTCACTTTCTCCCACTCCTCTCTGTTGACAAAATCGGAAATTGTTGGGACAACTTATATAGTAACTAACCGTGGCCACATGAAAGCTTCTATTGTTGTACGAATGATCAGGATCATCCGAAGTTACCACGGCCTCACAGTAGCCCGGCGTGAAGAGGAAGTATTATACTTCTGCCCTTTTCATCTAGTGAGTTATGTAACCACCTTTTTAAAGGTTGTCAACGCATCTGCACGCCCTCGCGAGTTATTCACGTCCATGTCCATTCACTTAGCAACAGGACAAATGATCACATAAAAAAATGTAATAATCCTTCATCATAACTAACAACATTGTAAAGCATCAGCTTGTGCTGTTCTGGGATTGGAACTGATGATTGGATCTTTAGGTCAGTACCGATGGCCTTACAAAATACGAGTGTTGCAATTATGGCACTGACGTAACTTATGGTGGGGAAGAGAGATCTCTGGTGAGACTTGTGATTGCCTAGACTTGAATTTTGGATACCGATGAAAGATGGAAAACGATGAAAGTGCGATGTAAAAAAAATGTGACAATTGTCGGGTTATATGACTTCGATTTGACACCGTGTGTCCAATTTTTAGAAACCTAATTTTATCTGAAAACGATAAAATCTAACATTTGAAAAATGTTATTTATAAATAATCAAACTAGAAAAGTAATCCGATAACTTAAAAAAAAAACTAGAAAAGTAAATAAATCTTTCCTTACTTCAACGACAATATTGGAAACCAAAACGTGAACAAAATTTTCTAACGGAATGTAACCATCATTATTTCCATTACTCATTATTTCCAACGCTGGCCGCGAGTAATTGGAATTGTGGCGGATCCGTTCGAAGAGATGGTTGTAATGGCTTCGGGACGTCGCATGCCTGAGATTTATGTGTTGCAGAAGCGATAGCAGACTGCTTTTGAATTACTTCTTAAGACGGATAGAATAATACCGACACGCAATATCGCGTGCGAGGGAACGCAGTTCCAGACCGCGATGACATTTTAAAAGAGCATAACTTCGACACACAAGAGTGACAAGTATTATTAAATTTGATAGGGGAAATATTATTGTAAACTACATAGCCTCAAAGTTGTTTCAGCGGTCGTCTTAAATGCTCCCTTTCTTAATGGCATCGCTTCTGAAATGGTAGCAGATTTAACAAGATACCACAATCAAAGGGATAGAACAATCAAACCGGCTTCTTGACTTCTACACAAAACCTAAGCTAACAATGTGTTTGTTTTGATTGAAATTGTTTATAATGAACAGTAACACATTTGATTTGAACATGCTTTTTCGGTAAAATATTAAGCACGCAGCATGTAGTATTTATGTGCAGTATTCTATTTGAATTCGTAATCTGTAAGTGACGTTTGACTTGGGCGCGAGTGACGCAGAACAGATTCATTTCGCTAAGTGATTCCGTGGCTGGGAGATGTTGACGCAAGCGTTTAAAGACCCCCCCCCCCCCCCCCCCCCTCGCTCCATTGGGCGATTACTTCGGCAATAAGTTACGACACACGCCTATGATACAATACCTTACTTACACTTTGGCGGGCTGTTGCACCAGAGCTGTTCCGTTGAGAAGCTAGGCGACATAATCGTCCGTACTAGCGGTAGCGTGAAAACTGACCGAAACGCACTTGTATCTTAAATGCGTGATTAAATACTTACAATTATAATAACCATAACTAATGCGGCATTAAGAAATGGTAAAAGTTATCCTCATTTGAAGTGCTTTAGCAACTAACTACCCACAAATCATCAGAGAATAAGGGCGTCCTTCACCATCTACAAGTAAAGCTTGTACGAATTTCACCATGTACGATTAGCACTAACCAAGGGTTAAACTAGTCAGTAACTTACTTGCTACTACATCTTCTAATTAGCGTGCTTAACTGACGGTTAAAACACAAAACTACATCATTGCTATTGTCAGTTGGCCATTTTGTATTTAGTAACAATGATAAAAATGGAAGTGTTTGATTTTATTGATTATCAATTAGATTAATTTGAATGTTCTTCGATGCAAATATTATAAAACATAAAATAATTACCTAAAAAAATTCAATGGTAAAAAAAAATCTTTTTAAAACCAAGGTTTTGTTTGATTGCCCTAAAAAGAAAGTAAATAAACTTTTAATTAATTAATATTTTTTTGGACGAATTAATTATTACAAATTAATTCATCCGTCTAAAGCAAAATTAGCATTTTTTTTATTTTTAAACTTTATTCGTAATATTGTTTATTGAAATAAAATAAATCATAGAGAAAACCAAAACTAACACACAAATTAAATACCACAGAATCACAACTATCAACTGTTTGAGAAGGGATGTTTGACGTAATATTGAATGAATTTATGAATGATTTGGTAAGTCAGTCCCTTAACCCGTAAGTTGTTACTCGGAGCTTTGATTTCGTTTGTGAAATTGATAAAAGATACTCGTAACTTTTACTTGCCAATTAACGTTACTTAGCAAGTAACTAATCCGTGGTTTACCTGTGGATGGTGAAAGAGGCCCTAACACGTATAATAAGTATAATTTTGAATAAAAAAAAATGGAAACTAAAAAACATTGTTGATAACTATAAAATTTGAGGATTGCCCTTGATTTCTCTAGGATGCCATCATCAGATCCGGGTTTCACACACATAAAAAAATTTATACGGTCGAATTGAGAATCCTCCTTCTTTTTTGAAGTCGGTTAAAAATCGCTTAAACCGATTTTGAATGTGATTAGTCTGTAACGTTTTCTATTATAAATTATTCGAAAAAATTGAGATATTAAGGGGTTATGGATAATTAAATTCTGTCATTTACGTTGGTATTTAAAATTGTAGTTCTACAAAAGTTCGTTTAACGCGTGCAGGAACAATCTACGTAATACAGGTTTAAAATGAAATGCAAATAATCTATATTAAATTATATATTAACAGACGTATAAAAATTATCTATTTTACTTCGAAAGAAAAAAGAGGTTAGTCTAGGGTTTAATAATGTACTAAACACGGTGCGAAGGTCCATCAGTTTCAGTTCAGCCTTCTAGAAGATAAGTAGAATGTTACTCACGAGTAGACGTAGGGTCCGAGCTCGTCGAGTATGGGCTTGGAGCCGTTGTTCAGGAACTCGTCGGCGTTGGTCACGTTGTACACGTAGACGTGGACGAAGGGCCGTACCGGCGGTCGCGCCCACCACTCGAAGGTCATCGAGCCGGGGCGGAGCACCAGCTCCTGTAGGCGGGTGTAGAGAGGCTGAGGTTAGTAGGTTACATACGATGCTGGGACGCATCTAACGAGGTTGATGGTAATAAGGTTCACATTTCGAAATATATAATACTTGAATCTTTAATTGAGACAACAGCAATTGATTGAACGGATGGATGTAAAATTTAAAGCCGGGGACTATATACGAAGAATTAGAAATGGTGAAAGACGGATTGAATGAGACGAAAGCCGTACCAAACAATTTGTTTTTTGTTTTTAAATGTATTCAACGTCGGGTCTTTGAATAACTTCAACATCTGTCTCCATTCAATTTAAAAATTAATCAATTTAAACTTTAGCTCTGCGTTCGATCAAGAATGAGTTATGCCAAACGCATATATTAGAGTCTGCACCAGTGTCTACATACATGCATTCCATTCGATTGTGGAGTTTTAAAGACCATAAGGAGAGAAGACAATTCTGATTTTTTAATACCATATAGTATTTCTGTTTTTATTAGACGTCAAAATAGCAATAAAAACATCAGAGGAAAGACTGGAGACTTGAGAATAGGTAATTTCGTTTAAGCATAAAAATCAACATGCATTTGCATGCTTTATATTACAACCAATCTTGCTTAACAGAGTGAAATAATATTATTTCTAAACTTATTTATAACGTTCACAAAATCAAAATAAAGCGGAGAGACCTGCATAAGCCAGTTGGTTTCCGTGGCAACATAATGTTTGTTTCACCAGTGTCTTTTAGAGAATTGAGAGACTTTAGATGTAAGTACCTATGTGCAGTATAAAAAGTAATAAACTGATAAAAAAAATTCCTGAGTTTTTTAATCAAATTATTTGTTTTTTAATTGAATTATTTGTTATAAATAATTATTTAAATAATTTAAAAAACAAAATATTTAACAGATAACAGTAAAATGTAAATGTATATAATTCTTCTGCACGTGTATACGTCACTGAACTCCTCCTAAAAGGCTGGACCGATTTTAATGAAATTGATTCTGTATGTTCAGGTGGATTCGAGAATGGTTTAAATTCACAAAGTTATTCAAAAAGTTTGAATTTTTTGAATTCAAGACGTGCGTACAGGACAACGTCTGTCCGGTCCGCTATTTTACTTATAATTTCAGATGCTACTTACTTCGTCGTTGGTTAATCTATCAAAACAACCACCTACATATACTAAATAGAAAAGGGCAAAAGACAAGCTCAAAACACAAAGAGTAAAGTTATTACAGTTTTGTTCATGAAATTGGAAGACAATTTAAAACATTGCCGATGCAGACCTTCAAATGTAACTATGCCATAAATGAGCTAACCAAACGCTGCGTTATTAAAAACAATGTCAGAGTAAAAGTCACGTGACACATTGAGTCACAGCTAATAGTAATGAATGGGCTCGCGCCTATGTACCGAGACCGAAAAAAATGTTCACAGACGTCACAGTGAGCGGCTAATCGCCGCGCGGGCTGGCTAACTTTGAACACGGCAATATTTGGGTGAAGGCGAACGACCGGCCGAGTATAATTGCCGATTCGTAATGCTTTGCGAAACAGATCTTACGGAACAAACGTTTTGAATACACTCAAGCCTTCCAAATGTGCATACGAGACTAACGCCCGGTTTTTGAAAGATTGATCAACGTAGAAAAAATTAACTAATCAACTGTCAAATGGCTTCTCAATCTTATTTGAGTTGCCAAAAGGACGCTCAAACTCTTTAAATTTATAATTCTGATCGTTCTGATAAATTTTTACTTATTTAACCATCCTGTTAGGAACTCAAATGATATTTGAGAAGCCATTCTTCTAGTTCTAATGCACAAGACGGTGCTCCTAGACGCTAGACGGTAAAGCAAGCATGCGATTCACCTGATGTTAAATGATTACCGCCGCCCATTGACATCAGCAACTCCCGAGGGTCTTGTAGATGCGATGACATTTTAAAAAGTGGGCCCCGGCTACCTCAATCACCACACGAAACGCGAAAGTATAATACTTCCTCTTCACCAAAATTTTAATAGATGTTGTAAACCCTACATATCCCTGTACTGCTAGGTTTCATCCTGATGACTAACGTAATGATGCATTACTCAGGTTAGTTTGTGGTCAAGGGTGTTTTTATTATATTGTCATTACAGCTCATAATGATTCATCCTATATAGTATTAATGTATCGATCGAATAAATCCTTACTAATCCTTACTTCCTTACTAATATTATAAAGGCGAAAGTTTGTATGTATGGATGGATGTTTGTAACTCTTTCACGCAAACACTACTGAATGTATTTTAAAGAAACTTTACAATTATATAGCTTATATATCAGAATAAGACATAGGCAATAATTTATATACATATTTTATGTATATCTGTCTGAATGTTACGCCTTCAGCCTATTCTATGCAGACGTAGTCGCGAGCAGCAGTTAGTAATTAATAATATTTCACTTAACAGCAACATTACAATTAAAAAAATTCAAAAACGGTAAAGTTAAATGAAGAGTCAAATTGCGAAATACATGTTTAAATTAGCAGTTAACCTCAAAAGTTATTCGACTCGCGTTGTGCGATATCTTGCTGTGCCCTGTACGTGCGCATTTGGCGTGGCAACAATAGAGGTGAGCGGTTCTATGAATCTGGCATTATATTTCCGTTTATGGTCAGCTATTTACTTCTCATTTAGGTGGCATAAGACATACTTCAAATATGAGACGATGGGAACGACCTCCCCCGATGACAGGTGTGAATGTTTGTTTATGTGTTGTTTATATGCAATCGGAAAATTCATATCTTATAGTAATTTCGACTAAAGATACACATATAAGAGGCAGGCCAATGCAATTCAATGATTATTATCAGCAAGTAATAAGTTTGCACGCACGTAATTTTCATTTCACCATCTTGCAGTTTCTCCAATAATTTTAACTTTGGCCAACTTTTTCCTATTTTAATTATATTTTAAACAACTCAGAAAGTATAATAGGAAAGTGCGATGGGTAAGAATATTGTTAACAATACCTCGTTGAAATCCATTGGTTTATAAACGTTTCAAGATACTTCACTAGCATCTAGACAGAGGTTCATATAAGAGATATACATGAGGCTAAAGGAAATTTAGAAACATTTTCTCTCAAGTTCGCCAAAGACAGGTTTTCTGAAACTGTACTTGATCCACCGATTTTTAAAATTTTAACCAATAAAAACTTTTTTTTATTGTGTGTTCGCGTCGCGATCATGATGCAGTTGTCTGTTCATAAATTGGTTGCTTGCAGCAGTTAACACTTCTGATTCAGCATTATATCATATGCGTCAAAGTGAAAAACACTATCCCTTGCCTCTGCGTAGAGATGTGAGATCACTTCACATCTTCTATTGCATATATCACGGGGAATTGTTTGGATTGATCCCGGGGGCTGAATTTCACCATCGGACATCGCGCCAAAACCAAAAACTTCATCCACGCGACGTCGATGTCTTGCCTCAGTCAACCACTCTGAGGAACTAGCTGCCGCGGGCGGTCTTTCCGAATCGTTACCACCTGGGATCCTTTAAGAAGAGAGGATATTTTTTTCTAAACGGCCGGCAACACATTTGCAAGCCCTCCGGTGTTGCAGATGTTCACGGGCGGCGGTAATCACTTACCATCAGGTGAGCCTCCGGCTCGTTTACCCTTATTTTCCATAAAGAAAATCAAAGCCTTCCTGGGCTCTTCATCGCTTCGGTTCCATGCGTGCTGTAGCACTCGTACACAATCGTGATGTTGACACTGTCAACTTGACAGTGTCAACATCACGATTAGGTATTTAATAATTTTATTATGTAAATCATTCCAATCCAATTTTCAATACGAGGTGATGAACTGATTCAGTTAATCAATTTTACAATGTTGTCGCGTTTATTTAGTTGCAAGGAAACCACGTCTTGTATCGTCATTCAAACACAGTCGACCTTCCTAAGACTTGTCAAGTGTACTTTTTCTAATCAAAACTTTTAAATACAGATGAAATTACTGTTTATTTTAAGAATTTAAACATGCATTTCATCTTTCGGTTCCAAGGGAAGGGAATCCGTACAATACATCTACTATTTTTGCAGATTGGATTGCTGACTTATCTATATAACCCTTATAATAGTAAACTTATTAAACGCATTGCTATCTTTAATATTTTAGATAATAGGAATAATATTAATGAAAATCAAACAATGTACAATTTACATTGTCTTCTATTATTATATTTGTTTGTTGCAGTATTTTATTATTATTTTTCTGCCATACTTAATATCCCTTAATTATCCAAATACGTATTTAAGTAGCTAAAGAAATTTGGGTCAGAGGTTGAATATTTTTTACAAAATTGAAACTTCATTTTTGAAATAAAGGGAAAACAATAAGAGATCATATTCCTATTTTTCATATATTATTCATATTATATTTCATCATATTACTCTTATTTCTGTCAAAAAATATCCTGTCCAAGCAATGCGATACATATTTTTTTATAAATACAATGAAGTATTAGAAAAATTACTTCACAGAACGAATATTTGAAGAAACCAAAAAAAATGTTCCGTTTCCTCGCACAGTATCGAAATCAATTAATAAATACATATAGCGATACTTTACATAATTTTTAACTATTATTACAAAACACTTGTGCATTTGCGTGCTTTCATGAAGGTCGTTTCACAATAGCGACGTGTACGCAGCGGTGGATTAAAATAATGCACGGAATCGAGCTGTCTTCATTTGGCATTTTAAATTAGATTTTATCATTCATTATTTATAACAACTCACGTCTTTTAAACTTGAAGGGGTGGATAGAGTCGATAAGTGTTCACTTTTGTAAAGTCCCGAAATTGCAAATTCAGGAGACGTGACATTCCCGAATGTTCGAGGGTTAAAGTGTAATTAGTAAATGATTAAACCTTCCCACCTTTTTAGAGTATATCAAATGACATGTTCACTATTGTTTTACAAGAGAAAACGTACATTCCTATAGTACACCATTCGACTTCTTTAATCTGGAAGCAAACATGAAAGTGCCTAAACGATGGTTGAACAAAACTAATTATGTTATTAAATATAAAAAGGTTTATGAATATTGTACTCACATGATCAATAAATAGCCTAACCCAGGATCCGAAGAATATTGCGCAAATGATGCCAAGTAGCAGAAGCACCACAGCCGAGGCTAGCACGAACCCTGAAATCAGAAACAATGTTTTATATTTAAATTCGATCTATATTAATGGATATCATGTATTGATGGAAAACGTAACAGATATTCCTATTTAATTGTCGAAAAAACAAACAGAAGCTAAAAATAAATCCGGTATTTCGAACTCCGTTATTAATGAATCGATTTCAAAAAAAAAATATTTTAGCTGCGGGTTCGATTTAGCTCCCATATGGTTCTATATTATTTTTTTAGGAATTACCGGTACCCAGGACTCTGAAGACATCAGGTAAACCCTTAAAATCGAAATGGAAAGGTATAGTGAGAGAAATATTCAGTCAGTTTTATTTTTCATTAATAAAAATGTTATTGTTAAGTAAAATAGTAAATCCCATTTTAAAATAAGTAATATGTTTTACTAAAGGACTATCATAACTATCGTAACTATTGAACTATCGTATCAACCAGCTAAATAAACGACATACATAATTATATAAAGTTTTTAATCGGGGTCTTGCACCGGACTTGTCAATATATTATTCTTATATTGCGCGGTTAATACTTAGTGATCTGTTGGTTCATATTATTGCACTGCTCACTAGTAATGCGACTGTGGCTTCGTTAGTGAATCATCACGGAGCAATGTTTAGAGAGTTCTGGGAAAAGCCTTATTGATATTAATCAAACGTACGCGTAGTTTTCATTTCGCCATTGCTCGGACGGAGCGGAACGCGACTACGTGATGATATTTTGCAAACACAAATGTTCCGGCTACGAATATGTTTTCGAAAACACGACCGGCACCGGTTGCTTAACGCGCGAGCAATAATTCGCTTTAGCGTTTATGCCTTTAAGACCAAATTCGCATGTATCGGACCTTGAGAACCGTTAAAAGCTACTATTACAAGTAAGTACGACAAGTTGCCCGTATACATAAGATTTGTTCGCACTCAAAAGGATGTTATGAAATGTGCATTGTGCAGACAATGAACCCGTTGGATACACTGGTACTTCTCGGTCGGTGTTTTTACCCGTCCGATCCTACCAAGTACGGATTTTGCTACATCAAGAGTACACTGACGAAGTAATGTTGTTAATTTAACTTATTCATTCCAAATTTACGACTCTGTATGTACGTAACATAAGGATAATTTATGTCAATTCGCTAAGAACTTCAGGTTACAATATTTGTTAACAGACAATTTATATGTGCACTTATAATTGCCATTAATGTTAGAGAGGTCCTGCAGACCCTTACAATTGCTGTTTAAAATTTCGTTTAGCACTTAATTATAAATATTTTTTTCTTTCTTGGAGATTAAATCAAATTTAATTAAACGGTAATTAACATCTGATTGGTGTTTGTGAGTGCGCCTGTTATGCTATGTCTGCTTTAAAGACTAGAATTAAATATCGGTAATATAAAAAAGAAATTAAATGAACTTTTTTTACGTTTTTTTTTATTTTACACGAGACAGAATGTTCCGTGGCCATGGATGTTGGAAAGGGTTCGAAAAGTTGTATATAATATTCGCGTCTAAAAATCAACATATGTAAAATAGGTTAATCACCGCGTAGTAGTGGGGTCAACCACGGGCGAGCTTCAGTCTCAGGTTCGAATATTTGTGGCAAAATTCGAGTTTAACGTTCTTTTCGAGCACTTGAACTCACTATATAATATATGTCCATTATCTACTGATACATCTGGTACTGATATTGGACAGATATGAGAGAATAAGGCTTGATTTATAAGTTTTGAAGTAAATTCGTTTGGTACATTATGAAGGACATAAAATTTCTCCATAAAATTCCTTCATAAAAATTCTCATTATGATTAAAGGTGATAAGAGCTTATGGTATAGGTAATTTAAAAGTATATTCCATAGTAGGAATTCAAACTGTATATATTATACTAGCGGACCCGGCAGACGTGGTCTTGTACACACGACTTAAATCCGACAACAACTTATAAATAAAAAAATTAAAAAAAGATTGTAGTGGACCAAATGGACACAAATTTCATTAAAATCAGTCCAGCCATTTAGGAGGAGTTGAAGCACATACACACGCATAGAAGAATTATTTATATATAAAGATATACCTACTCTAGAACCGTTTACAAAACAGAATAATTTTATAACAGGTCATTCCTCTGTCAATAAAGTAAAAACGAGAATTCCATTCTAGATAACTATTTACATATATTGTCGTGAAGGGAATAGAAATAAAATAATATATTACGGAAACGGTCTCTATCATTCATTAACCATAAAAAACACAATTGTTATAGTCAGGTTTAATAATATTTGTTAGCGGAATTTGTTCAAAAGAAATAGTATAAACTCATATTTTGTCTGGACTTGAAACATAATATTTTAATTGTTAATAAATGTCGAAGAAAGAGGGAGAAGCAACGCCATTTTGTGTTTCATTAAAAAAAGTAAAAAAAATAAATAAGGAAGGAAGAAATAGGAATTTGTATATGTGTGCGTTTTTTTAGAGAGATTATAAAATTTTTTTCCTGACGTGCATAGATCTGACAGTGGACCTGTCACCGAATACCATACAAATTTTCTAGTGATTCTGTTAGTGAAATTAAAAATGACGTAGGTAGTACCTATTTATCAAGAATTTTGTCTCTATCAAATCTTATTGAAGTTACTTATAAGGGATTTTATTGAAGCGAGACTATCATATTACTTTCTAATCGCTCTCTTTCAATATTTGTTATAGTACGCTGCTTTTTTTGATTATTATTCTCATAAACGTTTTACTCCGCTTGACGCTTTTTCCTGAATACAGTCAATCGCGTAAGCTTATAATTAATCGTCATTGCTATAGGTGTCATAACTGGACATATCTATGGCGTGATTTACGTTACATTAAAGCTTAGCGTGAACACTGTCGATACGTTGAAACAGAAGAGAACATAATGGAGTGACATAATCGTGCTATGAGCGTAAACAATTCCGACGATTTCATACGATTCCGTTAACATAGCACCATGGGAATTGAATACAATATAAACGAATCGCAACGTTACACAACACCGTACACGAGATGCCGGACCTGAACAAGCGATCAGATCTAACCATTAGCGATTGATAGAATCACCATTGCTAGCACCGTGTCACGAAGATGCGAGTGACCAACATCATGTTGTACGTCAATAAAACCGTTTAAAAACTTTTAAGTTAAACGGTTTTATTTTATGTGCACTGAAAACTACAATATTGTATTGTCATCTAAATTAAATGTGTGTACCAAATTTCAGATTAATCTGACAACGGGAAGGTGCTTAAATTTCAATTTCTAATTTTGACCCAAATAAATAAACAAATAAATTCCGTACGGGTCGAGCTAAATAAAACCGTTTAAAAATTATAAAAATAATGTTAAGATTGCGATCGGGAATATTCCAACAAACAAATTTGCACACATCATGAAGAAAACAAACTTTCCTAACTGTAATCTGTGTGGAGTAGAGGAGGAGGTACCTACAGCATGTTTTGATGCAATGTGTCAAGTTGAGGGCCTTGAACATTAAATCTTTTAACATAGGAATAACGCATTCAATCTTATGATAATAAAATTATGTTTTGTTGGTTCAGTGTTCTATGACGTTCTAGGACGATGGTCACTCAAAACAAATTCATTTTAAAAAAAAAGGTGCGAAAGCTTACGAGAAAAAGTGAACTTTGAATGTAACTCCAGATCAGAGACGAAATACGTTATATAATTATAAAAACCTATCGATGTTACGGAAAACGAATAAAAACAATTTTCTATTGTCAATCCATTGTAGTAGCGATGAAGAAAGCGATTGTATCGCCCCTCAAGCAGGTATTTTAGTCAAGCTATAAAATAAATCATTTTGAAAATGATTTATTCATTCAATGTATGCCACACATTTACCGACAACAACAACAATTTACATGGATAAGCTACATAAATAATTTGGAAACGAGTTGCGTAAATCATACGTTCACTTTACTTGTCGCTTGCAAAAATTTTAGTGTAGTCGTAATGTACCTACATTTATCAAACATTTTCAGCTTAATCTCTACGTAAGTTACTCTAATATTTGTTAATCATTAAGTTTCATTTGAAGTTATTCTTAGGACAAAGTACAATCCGATGAAATAACTGGAAATTACATATTTTAAATCATTTTAGCACTAAAACTAAAACGAATTAAATGTTATCTTAACTGTTATCTACAATAATTCGTTTTAGTACAGTACGATTATGTATAATTCTAATACTCTGTCAGAGTTTCTTCTTAGAATCCAAGGACATGATCATAAATATCTCAGTTGCGTGGCATCTTTCTCAGAATCAAAACGAGTTGGTAATTGAAAAATTTGTTACTCCTTAAAATGTTGTTATTGTAATGCCGATTGTTGTACGTTTCGTGATCACCGCGATTTAGAGCGGACACGGGCGAAATGCGAAGGTCGCATTTTCTATTTCGCTATACCTCACGGGCGGTCGCAACGATTCGAACGGAACGCGAAGCACGAAGAAATCATGCAAAATAATCGACACTTGGCACACTCACTGATCCCACGGTTATCCTTCACGCGTTCTATGCAACGAGAGAGCAGGACCTGCAGCGCCATCGCGGTAGTCCAACACACGGCGCTCACGTATTGGGGGTTTCGCGATTGTGGCGGGAATCAGATCGCCATTTTGAAACAGCGGCCGCGCCGGCGCGAGAGCGACTGGCCTGCGTGCGCCGCGCAAGTAGGTTTTACTCGTGAAAATTGTTTTTTTCCCGTCGTTTGACCGAGTAAGTTATCTGTCCGTGCATTTCGTAAGGCGCACTCGGAGCGAGATCCGATTATGGTACTCAGTGGACAGTGGAGAGGACACTTTTTTCTTTTTCGTTTTTTTATGTGAAGCTAGCAGGCGGGTCACTTGATGCTGTGCCAATGAACACCTACAACACCTGTGGTGTTGTAGAGACGTTGACAATCTTTTAAAAAGCAGGACCCCGGTTACCTCACTGACCACACGAAACGCGAAAACATTTTCTGTATTTACTGCCCATTCATGCAACACTACACCTTTCGGGGTATTTTGAACCTTCACAGCCATAACAAAATTATGAAAAATAAAAAATCTCATATCAATAATTTAAACGTGACACCTGTTCATTATGAAGCAGAGGCAAGTCAATGAAATGCTCTTTAAGTTTTCATATTTTAAAAACTAGTTACGCTATGTACGTAAGTATATATAGCGTAACTAATACTACATTATTGAGTTATTCCAAATACTCAAAATGCCATGTGACGAACAAACATAAAACAAGATGATAATTATTAGTAGGGGACATGAATGCAGACTTCATCAAAATTTTAGTTACGTACGTGATAAAGTCATTCTTTGTGCTAACTGCTGACTTAATAAATTCGTTATTAAACAATGGTCGGGTATTCTTCCGCAGTGCGAACAGTTCGATTGCACTCCAAGTGTCACGGGGTCCATTAACATATTGAGAGGAAAATTATAAAGTTATTTTACATGAATATCCAATTAATTGTATGTGACATGTTTATGATCTCATGATACTGGTATATGTGACATGTTTAAATATTGTATCATCGCATCATGATGAAAATATACGACGAGACCGAAAAATACAAGTAAAAAAAAAAATAAAAAAAATAACGCATAATTAACAATAAATATAATATAAATATATATACGATGCATAATAAATAATAAATAAATCATGGAAGTCCCCTGGTATTATAATAATAATAAATAGGCGTAGGGAAGTGACGACCCCATCGCCCACCGGCGTAACAGTTCAAGTGACAGAACTGTTGCGCCGGCGCAATCAGTCAGTGCCTTGCCAATAGGTGTTTGCATCGTGCCTCGGCATAAGTGAGGGTGCATAGGCCCGTCTGTGCGTTCGGCCACACTACAGAAAACGGTTCCGGTCTGGGGGCGTCTTCCGTTAAACGACGCCCTAAAAATGGATGATGGAAAAAAAGAAAGGAAAGCGCATAGGGCCGCTGCCTGGGGGCCGCCAGGGCGCGCCTGGAGCTGGCGCTGGACGTGGCAGCATGCGGGACGCCAGCCAAGCGCGGGTTTACTGCACGACCACCAAGCAGTACCTCGCATCCATCATCCCCACCAGTTGGCTTGGTGTCGGCAGGATCCTCTCGGATCCAGCAATCGGCACCCGCCGCTGGTGGAATACGCCGCTTGCGCTGGACTGAAGATATGAATAGGAACGCAATGCGGGCGTATCTTAGGGCGAAAGGGAGTGAGACTGGAGGGTTTGCGTATCGGACAAGGATGCATCGCTTTTTGCTGAGCTGGAGCCATCTATAACCGTCACCGAGCAAAACCTGGCAGACCGAGTTCGGTACATCATGCGCTCAAAAATATTTGATGATACCGAGCTCGAACGACTACGACGTGAGGCTGTTCCCTCATCGGATGAAAATGTAGTGGCTGGGGATACGGCCCCGCAAGCTGCGGACCCTGCAGGGTTACAAGCAGATGCGGAGGCCGCGGTTAACCCCCCGGCTCCTGTAGATTCGTACGATGATGGAATAGTCGCCCACAGATGGGAAGCATTTTGGAGGAGGCAATTCTGGAGGTGCCCGAAACGCCTCTCGAGAGTCGACCCGTCTCCCCCGCATACCCCTAAGTAAGCGGAGTCGGTCTGTCGTGAGGTCTCTTAACCCGATGCTGGCAACCTATTTGGAAGCTAGCCGGGATCTTTGCGATACGGACTCAATTCTCTTTGGCGCTGCGCTGCACTGGCAGTATGCCGAATCGTTGGCGCCAAACTTCCCAAGGCTGGACGTGCTACCAGACCAGGTAGCACTATCCCAGCATGGAGAAGAAGAATTGAGGACCGTATCGCAAAGGTAAGGGCCATCATCGGCAGGCTGATAAGCTTCAGGTCGGGCAATAATAGGCCCAGAATTGTGCGCACCGTTAGGATGGCGTTCGCTGGGACCAACATAAACTTGTCCCAGCCGGACATTACGCAAAAACTAACGGAGCGCATAGATGACCTGAAGCAGAGGATCGCTGCTTGGGGGGAAGCGGATTCGGAGATATTCCGAGAGGACGGCGCGGTTTAGCCAGAATCGCCTCTTCCAGAGTGACCAAAAGAGGCTCTACAAATCTTTGGAGCGACCAATGAGTTGTGGAACGGGCCAAGGACCGGACCAGGCAGACACTGTCGCCTTCTGGCGCAGCCTGTGGTCAGAGCCCGTAGACCACAGTGAGGGCCCTTGGACACAAGTCGTGGCGACCCAATGTGCAGACATTACACCCATGGACCCCGTCGTCATAACACCCGACGACGTATCCGAGGCAGTCCGTAGAGCCCCGAACTGGAAAAGTCCGGGACTCGACGGGCTGCATCACTACTGGCTGAAGGGGTTCGTGGTGTGTCATGCTGTGCTCGCCCGGCAGTTCCAAGAGGCTCTCGATCAGAGGTCGCTCCCGAGCCTCTTTACTACTGGGGTCACTCATTTGGTTCCTAAAGATCAGGTTACCACAGACCCGAGTAAGTACCGCCCCATTACGTGTCTACCTACCATCTATAAGACACTGACATCTATTCTGAGTATGAGAATCACCCGGCATATTAATGTGAATCGGATTATGTCTCGTACTCAGAATGGATGTCGGGGCGGCGGTCGTGGAACCAAGGAACCGCTTCTCATCGACGCGGTCATTGGTAAAATGGTTAAACGCAACCGTCGGAACCTCTCCGCCGCCTGGATAGACTACAAAAAGGCATTCGACTCGGTGCCCCATACATGGCTAAAGAGGGTCCTCGAACTGTACAAAGTAGACTGTACAGTAAGAGACTTCCTCGAGCACTGTATGGGGCAATGGAGTACGATCCTTTGTCATCTAGGCGAGCGGATGACGGCTGCGGAATACCGGATAAGGATACGACGGGGTATTTTCCAGGGCGACTGTTTGAGTCCAATATGGTTTTGCCTCTCCCTGAATCCTCTCAGCGTATTACTGGAGGGCTCGGGGGGAGGATTTCAGCTTCGGAGAGGAGGGACAAAAGTGACCCACCTTTTCTACATGGATGACCTCAAGTTATTCGCCTCCAATCGCTCCCATTTGATGGAATTGCTTAAAGTCACTTGTGATTTCAGCAATTCTATCAAAATGGAGCTCGGGACGGATAAGTGTGCGGTCCTTCATGTCGAAAGAGGTAAAATACGGGGGCATAGACTTATCTATGCCCGTTAACATAAGGACCCTCTCTGAGGCTGAAACATACCGATACCTGGGTATGTCACAAAACATGTGTATCGATGAGGCTGGCATGAAACAGTCAGTTCGTGATGTGTTTTTTTTGCACGCCTGACAAAGGTGTTTGACAGCCATTTGTCAGGCGTGAACAAGGCACGCGCATTTAACAGCTGGGTCATGCCAGTCCTCATGTATACCTTTGGCATACTCAGGTGGACTCAAACTGAGCTCAATGCCCTGGACCGAAAAGTCCGCACAACTATGACGTCCCACAGAATGCATCATCCGAGATCGTCAGTGATGAGGCTGTACCTGCCGCGGAAGCATGGCGGGAGGGGCTTTTTGAGCGCCCTTACCATGCACAATCGCGAGGTGTGCAGCCTCCGCAACTACTTCCTGGCGAGATCGGATGAGTCAATTTACACGGACGTCATTAGTTGTGATAAAGGACTTACCCCTCTATCCTTAGCCAACGAGCAATGGCAGGACCCGGGAGTACTGAGCGTTTCCGACCGAGAGGCCGTATGGAAGGAGAAAGAGCTCCACGGGAGGTTCTACAAGGCTCTACACGAGCCTTTCGTAGATACTGTTGCCTCCCTTAACTGGCTACGTTTCGGTGACCTCTTTGGGGAAACCGAAGGTTTTGTCTGTGCGATACAGGATCAGGTTATTAAGACGAACAACTATCGGAGATACATCCTAAAGGATGGCACCGTCGACATCTGTCGAGCTTGTCGCCATCCCGGGGAGTCGCTTCGGCATGTTATCTCCGGTTGTTCCATGCTTTCTAACTCTGAGTATCTGCATAGACACAACCTAGTAGCCAGAATCCTACACCAGGAGCTCGCTCTGAAATACGGCCTCGTGGAACGGAAACTGCCGTATTATAAGTACTCTCCGGAGGCCGTGCTCGAAAATGACCGCGCCAGGCTCTATTGGGACCGGTCCATCATTACGGACAGGACGATTGTCGCGATCAAACCTGATATCGTGTTGATGGACCGGGCACAGTCGCTGGTATTTTTGGTCGACATTACCATTCCATATGACGAGAACCTCGTGAAAGCCGAAACAGATAAGAAGACGAAGTATCTGGACCTGGCTCACGAGGTGACCGACATGTGCGGTGGTGTGCCGACCGAAATTATCCCTATAATCGTGTCTGCGAATGGGTTGATCCCAGTCAGCCTCTCTAAACATCTGAGGCGACTGGGACTCCGGGACGGATCGCTCCAGGCTCAAATGCAGAAGGCGGTGCTCCTCGATACCGCCCGCATCGTCCGCCGGTTTCTCTCCCTTTCGCCCCCTAACCCTCGGCCGTTTGGTCTCCCCTGCCGAGGGCTTCCGTCTGGTTGGGTCCTATTTATAT